AAGAGATTGCTCCGCAATACTTTCAGATTCTTTCGGCAATGATTCGTGAGTGTTGCCGAAATTCTTGAATTGCGTAGAGTATGCATTATATGCTACAGTATTTGATGATGGCACATGTGTTCCTGTAAAATTTTCACTTATTCGGCTATGACCATGAAGATGCGAGGCCGTATTATGAACATCTACAGTTGCATACGGTGCTGAAAATTTACTAACATGAGGTGTAGCATATGATAGTTAAGAGTAGCTGGCCGAATAGCTAGTAGTAGCATGGCCAATTCTCCCATCCATCGGGAAGGTTGGATTCACATATTGAAAATTAGTTGCCGATGAATAAAAATGTGAAACATTTTCTTGTATGCTATTGGAAATTTTGACATGAGGTGTTTCAAATTGATTAACCAAATCCATCATGTTGTTCATCGGCATATGGATTTGTGGGGTTGCCGATGCATGAGAGTATGGATACATATGTTGTACGTTGCTAAAATCATAAGAATTTGAAGCATGAAGATTGCTTTGCATCGGCCCTCGCGCATAATTAGATGCATGATTAATAAAATTAGGGCTAGCCGATACATTATGCTCATTAGGTGATCCAGCAACAACATATAGATTATTTGCTTCTACAAAGGAAAATTGGGTATTCATATTACCTTTGTAGATTGCAGCAACTTGATGATAATCTCTTCGTAGCAAGAACGGGCTGGAGACCGTTCAAAGCTTCGTCCCCAGTGGAGTCGCCAAAAAGTGTGTCCGCACATCAACACGTCACCGTGTACCCTCGACGCCGAGGGTGATGCACCGCAGCTCACGTCGAAGGAGACCCGGTCGGAAGCACGGTACGCAGGCAATCCGGCGGGCGCTTTTGAAGACCCAAAACCCCGCACGCCCGGGAGGGACCCCGTCTGGACGCGCGGCGGCTATGGACTGCCCTAGGTCGACCTGATCGCCCCTAGGGCCTCGAGGTTCGCCGCCCTGCAAAGAAGAAGAACAGACGAAGAACGAGGAAGAAGAAGAACTAAGGTTAAGGAGAAAAAAATAAAAGATAAAAATTGGTAGATGAATTGATCGATTGTGTGTTATTCAATCGGCCATCACCCCTTAGATATATAAGAGGCGGCTGGAATTCCCGTGCAAGGAAAAGGCTTGGATTCACGTCCAGAACCCAGTCAAATTCGGATTGGTTTTATCCGAACTTTTCAAAATTGTTCGGTTTAAACTGGCTGCACCTTGCGGGTCATTTTTGTGATGGTAAACGATCTCGGATGAAAACGAGCCCAAAAGCAATCTTAATCGTTTCGACGAGACGAACAACTTTCATGTTGAAAGGTTTTTTATCAGAGGTCATCTTGAGGGTCAAATCGGTCTTGCAAAACAGGCTATTCTCTCGCGCTACCCATCACACATGTGTCTGGTGGGGCGCGTCACATCTCGCCTCGTGACAGTGCTGCACTCCGATTGCTCTAACTTTTGCATACGAACTCGGATTTGGACGATTTTTATATCAAAATCGACCGTTTCAACGAGACGAAGACAACTTGTGTAGGTCATTTTTTTCATTTGAGGTCGTCTTATGGGCTTAATCGTCCAAACTGTACTCTGAATATAAGATCTTAGTACTTTAAGCATAGTTTCGGCCTTCGAGATAAATCGGACAACGATGACCCAAACTTCAAAGATGTTCATATCAATAATACGGAACTTTTTCATGTAGATCACTTCTCCATTTGAGACCATGTTAAATAAGTTCTTGACCGTGCCAAAATCTGATGTTAACAGTGTCACTCCCCGGGACATCTCTCGTGTGCCCTAGACCATGGCGGCCGCGGGGGCGGCAACGCTTCCTGTAGCCAAGAGGGCACAGGATCTACCGGAAATCGACCTGATCAGCTCTCTCCCCGGTGAGATCCTCAGCATAATCATATCCCTGCTCCCCATCGACGACGCGGTGCGCACCACATCCCTCTCCCGCCGCTGGCGTCCGCTATGGCGCTCCTCCCCTCTCAACCTCGACGTTTCCCATATTGACGGGGGCGGCCGTGCCCGCGCCGCCACCGTGTCCAAGATCCTCTCCGACCACCCGGGCCCCACGCGCCGCTTCCTGACCGCCTGCCTCCTGATCACCGACCCGGACGGCTGGCTCAGCTCTGCCGCTCTCCGAGATCTGCAGGAGATCAACGTCTGGCTCCCTCTGTACGAAGCTCCGATGCCGCTGTCCATTCTCCGCTTCGCGACGACACTGCGCGTGGCCAGGTTCGGCAATTGCAGGTTCTTTGAGTACGACGCACCACCGTCGTTTAACTTCCCTTGCCTGGAGAAGCTCACCATGAGATTTATCTTCGTACGGGAAGACACCCTCCACTGCCTGCTCGATGGCTGCCCTGTCCTCGAGAGCTTGCTGCTGGACAGGTGCCACGGCTTCTTCTATCTGGTCATCAATTCACCAACTCTTAAGAGAATCGGCACAAATGACGGTCGGCATGGCTGCCAATTAGTCATAGAAAATGCCCCCAGACTAGAAAAATTGATCAGAACTGTTCTTCATCCAGAGTCAACCATCCGGCTAATCAAGGCACCGAAACTTGAGATCTTTGGCTTCATGACAGACGACTTCACTAAACTCAAGCTGGGGTCTGAAATTTCTGAGGTAGCTGTGGCCATCTAATCTAAGATTCAGTATTACACATCATATCACTAGGCTTCTTTCTGATCCTGTTGAATGTTTATGCCTTCTTTGTTATTAGGGAATGGTTGCTGGCAACTTGAAAGCACTGATGCACAGCGTCAAGGTTTTGCATCTTACGTCTAGTGGCCCTAATCTTGATGCAGCTATAGTCTTCCTCAAAATATTTCCTTGCTTGGAGAAGCTCTACATCATGGTGACTCTTCTTTCTTCGATAGTTTTTGGTGTTAAAACTAGCTTCACGGCCATTTCATACATTTTTCCAATGAGTAAATCCTGGTTTTAGTTGTCAGGTGGGGGTCAGTTTTTCTATCGTGTAACTGTTTTTATTTTGTTTCAGTCATGTCCAGGAAATGATATGGAGAATGTGCATCATCTTCAACCACAAGATCCTATTGAATGCCTCGATCATCTCAGAGAAGTTGAGTTGAAGTTCTATGTTGGCAGCAGATCAGATGTCAATTTTGCCAAGTTCTTTCTCCTGAATGGTAAAGTGCTCGAGTTAATGAGATTTGGTGTCAAGGACCAATATACTGAGGCATGGGTAGCTGATCAACACAGTCAGCTACATGTTGATAGCAGGCCTTCTCCAAATGCTCAACTTGAATTTACAGCTGCTGATGGTGACAACCTTTTGACCATATTCTGTTCTTGACGGATCCCTCCAGTGACCTTGTGGACATTGTGGACAAGGTTGACTAGATTGTCGTGCCCCTTCAGATTTTTTGTGGCGCCTTTCTTGTCACTGTGCAAAGCTGGAAACATGGCACTTTGTGACTTGGGTGTAATGCTTTAGAGATTGTCATGCAACTATTTTACTTGTCATGCTTTTGAGATGTGGCATGTCTTTGGCATTCTAAATTGCGAATGACCGCAACCTAGTTGTTCATTTTGATTCAGGAATTAATGTATGGCTTTGAAATCTTGCTTTGTTTGGGGGGAAAAGAATATTTCGTTCTTCGAAAAAAATAGCAAGTAACTTAATGAAGCACTGTTCTGTTGCGTAATCTTTTTTTGTGAGAATCATAGCTTATGCTTTGAGTAACAGGGTGAAGGAGTAAAAGCTAACATAGTTTATAAAAAATGATGGGTTGTTTGTTTTTAAAATCCCTATTTGCTCCCTAGTGATTTGAGATATCAAATCTACTGCTTGAGTGTCCTGTATGCAATATTTTTTTTCGAGACCGTATGCAATACTTGACCGTGTATGTTTTTTGACCATGTATGGACATCATGCTTCTGCTAGATAGCTCCAAAGCCTCTCGGCACGGTTTCTTCTGGCTAACATCACTGCTGATGTGGAGCTTTTGGTCTCGGCACGGTTTCTTCTGGCTAACATCACTGCTGATGTGGAGCTTTTGGTTAAGACTTGTGTCAGATGCCAGCTTTACTCCAGGTAGCCCCATATGCCGGCTCAAGCTTTGAGGACCATCCCTATCACCTCGCCCTTTGCCATGTGGGGACTTGATATCTTGGACCGTTCAGGCCGGCTACTGGCAGATACATGCATTTTCTAGTTATGGCGGATAAGTTTACAAAGTGCATTGAAGCCAAGCCCATCAGGAGAGCAACGGCCCTCAAGTTTGGCAGAGATATGATCACAAGATTTGCATCATGTATGGTATTATCACTGACATTGGATCCAACCTCTCGCAAGGAGAATTAGCTGAATACTGCCAGGAGGAAGGAATCTGGCTCATTGCGTCAGTGGCTCATCCGCAGTCCAATGGGCTCATCTTGCAAGGCCTCAAGCCAAGACTTCAAGTACCTAATTTGGAGAGCAGTCGGCCGCTGGGTTGAAGAGCCTAGACATAGGCATAGTGTCGGTCTTCCGGTCTGCTATATATGGTTTTACTGTTGCTGTTATGTCGTTTTTATTTTCTGGTTAGACTGTTGGAGTGTCGATGTGTGCATCTTAACTATGTAGAGAACGGGTGTTGCTCAATTGTTTCGTAATATCTGATTATGCTACCTTTTAAGTTAATAAAAGCGTCCTTTATCACACAAAAAAGAGCTCCAGACTCGTATCAAAAGTCAACCTTCTATGCCCAAGGAAAAGGTGAGAAGTCTAGTCAGCAAGCTTGGGGCATCCATGCACATCCAAGCAGACCCAGCAGGGCGGTTGACTGACTCAGGATGCAAGTCAACCCATCGCCCATGTGATCGGGCCCAACTGGGTAATTAAGTTGTACAACACCCATTTCTATGAACTGATTGACATGTGGTGTTTGAATTATTAGTCCTAGATGGTTAGACTTACGTTTGTACCTTCATATAATCTATGTCTTAGTGTATAGCTGCTGCCACATGCACCATGGACGGACAGCGGCGGAGAGCAATGGCGGCCCGGTGGCTGTGGCCGCTTCTTCTCGGCATCGCCGGCCTCGGCGGCGTTCTTCAAGTCCATGGGCAGGTCGATAACTTAGGTGAGCCCATCGTACATGCTTGCGACGTTTCATGGCATTACCTTCACAAACATTGCCACAGCTTATTTTTGCGTCCGCCGTGCAGGTTTCATAAACTTAGACTGTGGTCTGCCAGAGAGCGCCGCGGGCTACGTGGACGGCGTCACCAAGCTGCGCTTCACCTCGGACGCAGGCTTCATCGACGCCGGCACCAACTACAACATGTCATCCGAGTACATCACGCCGACGATGGGCCGGAGCTGGCACAACGTGCGCAGCTTCGGCGGTGGCGCAGGCACGCGCAGCTGCTACACGCTCCAGTCCCTCGTGGCCGGGCTCAAGTACCTCATCCGGGCCAAGTTCTGGTACGGCAACTACGACGGCCTCGACAGGGCGCCTGTCTTCGACCTGCACGTTGGCGTCAACTACTGGACGACCGTGAACATCTCGAACGCCAACACGCCGGTGATCTATGAGATCATCGCCGTCGTCCCTGGTGAGTCCGTGCAGGTTTGCCTCGTGAACACCGGCTCCGGGACGCCGTTCATCTCGGCCCTCGACCTGAGGCCCCTCAAGAACGGGCTCTACCCGATGGCCAACGCGACGCAGGGGCTGGTTCTTCACACCAGAGCCAACTTTGGCCGGGACGACGGCGTGATCCTCAGGTACCCCAATGACCCGCACGACCGCTTTTGGATCCCGATGAGCAAGCGGGCGGAGTGGACGGAGGTCTCGACGGCCAAGAAGGTGCAGAACATCGACGACGACAGCTTCGACGCGCCGTCCGCCGTGATGCAGACGGCCATCACGCCCGTCAACTCCTCCAGCCCCGTCGTGTTCAGCTGGGACGCCGAGCCCAGCGCCAACAACCCAGATCCCGGCTACATCTGCATCCTGCACTTCTCGGAGCTGCAGCCTCTCCCCGTCAACGCGGTGCGGCAGTTCTACGTCACCCTCAACGGCCAGCTCTGGCTCGGCAAGGGCTTCACGCCGCAGTACCTCTACACCAACGCCGTCTTCAGCAGCTTCCCCAACAACGGGCACCACCAGTACAACGTCTCGCTCAACGCCACCGCCAATTCCACGCTCCCGCCCATCCTCAACGCGCTCGAGATCTTCTCCGTCCTGCCCACCACCGGCATAACCACGGCCACTCAGGATGGTAAGCAAGCAGTTATGTTCTTCAGATTTCAGATGTAGTGTCTCACTCAGGACGATCAATGAAGCAGTTAATTATACTCAGCTGACAGATTCTTGTCTTGCTGCTGCTGAGAAATGTAACAGTGTCTGCCATCGCGGCGATCAGAGGCAAGTACCAGGTGAAGAAGAACTGGATGGGCGATCCCTGCGTGCCCAAGAATTTCGCGTGGAAAGGATTGGGTTGCAGCTATGCTGTTTCCAGCCCACCAAGTGTCACAGGCTTGTGAGTTATATGTTTCTGAATGTTCTGTTTCCTGTTAAAAGTCTTGCGAGTTATAAGTTTCTGAATGTTCTGTTTCCTGTTAAAACTTAAAAAGTAGTATTAGTAGTAGCAACCGGAATGAGTTTTCTGAGCTGCAGTTGTATATATGCTGCAGGAATCTATCTTCCAGTGGCCTCAGCGGCAACTTGTCATCTTCGTTTGCCGGCCTCAAAGGTCTACAGTACTTGTAAGTTTTTTTCTTTTTATGTAAGTTGTAAGTTTTTTTCTTGGCAGTAAATACAGTACTTGTAAGAGAGACTGTTAAGCTAGTCATTGCAATGCTAATTTTATCGAGAAGCAATCAAATTGTTTAACCGGAATTTTGCGAGTTCATAGGGATTTGTCACGCAATAATCTTACGGGCTCAATTCCTGACACCTTCTTGCAGTTGTCGTCGCTCACACTTCTGTAAGTAATCTGTGGTCTGTGCTTTTTAAATCCATTCGTAGTAAACTTGGCATAAAAAACCTGTTGTGTTTCATTCAGAGATCTGACAGACAATCTACTCAGTGGATCAATACCTCCTGGGCTTGTGAAAAGAACTCAAGATGGTTCCCTAACACTTAGGTTAGTACCATCTAGCATCACAGTTTTTTCAATGGTATAGTTCTATGATCTTATTTGACCTTTCTGTTCAACATACATTTTATATATCTTACTTCATCAACATGATTTACTTATCTTTTTCTTTCTTTCGCTAGATATGGTAACAATCCAAACCTCTGCAGCAGCGGCAACTATTGTCAGCCTCCACAAAAGAAGAGAGGCTCTATGGTTGCCGTCTATGTTGTTGTTCCCATAGTTGCAGTACTAGTGATTCTGCTACTGTCAGTTCTTCTCTTTTGCATGAGAAGGAGAAGGCAAGGTAAGAAACCATGCAAAAATACATAACACTAGACTCAAGACTGCAAGTGTTCTTAGAAAATAAAAAGTTTCATTATCCTGGCCTCTTCATCACGAATGCAAGTGTGAAGTGATTAAGTAACATCTGTTGGTGTGATTTCTGTATGAAGGAAGGACAAGCGGCAATATCAAGCAACTAGATGAGGTGAGTATCATGGGGCACAACTCGTTGCGACTCGATAACCGCCGGTTCACATATAGTGAATTAGAGGCCATCACAAATGGCTTCGAGCGAGTAATTGGTAAAGGGGGGTTTGGGAAAGTTTATCATGGTTCGTTGGAGGATGGCACACAAGTGGCTGTCAAACTGCGGTCTGAATCTTCAGATCAAGGTGAACAAGAATTCTTGGCAGAGGTGAGAATTAATGTGATCTGCTCAAGGTTAAGTATACTAATGCGATTCAGTTTGGTAATGTGCATGGATCTTTTCGGTTTCAGGCTCAGACCTTGGCAAAAATTCACCACAAGAATCTTGTTTCCTTGATTGGCTACTGCAAAGACATGAAATACATGGCTCTTGTCTACGAGTACATGTCTGAAGGAGCCCTAGACGAACATCTTAGAGGTATTAATAAAATTACTCAAATCATCAAACTTCAAGCCTGTATCGACATAAATACTACCTTTGTACCAAAATATAAGGCGCCTTTGTAACTACAAAAACGTCCTATATTTTGGTAGGAGGGAGTAATATTTTTATGTAACATAAATATATATAGTTGTAAAAGTGAGAAGCATCTGAGAAAAATACCAGTACATGTGATTCAGCTTATTATATTTGCATTGCAGGGAAAGATAACACCATGAGAACTTTAACCTGGAGACAAAGACTTCGTATATCCTTGGAATCCGCACAAGGTATGCTTTCAATTAGGTTTTACCACATCTCATTGCATATAGAAGACGCAGATTTGCATTGTGATGTAGTTGATGATGTGTCATGTGGATGCATTCAGGGCTTGAGTATCTGCACAAGGGGTGTAACCCGCCCCTCGTTCACAGGGACGTGAAGACGTCAAACATCTTGTTGAATGCAAACCTGGAGGCTAAGATTGCTGATTTTGGCCTACTGAAGGCTTTCAAAAGCAAGAGCGATACACATGTTTCCACGGCAAGGGTGGTTGGCACACTCGGTTACCTTGACCCTGAGTAAGTGCACAATTGTCTATTGTTTCAGATGATGCTCTAAAAACCTTCTCAGCTACGATGAACAACTGGAGTAATATATTTCGATTGTCTAAAAGTTGGTGCAATTCAACATACATGCAGGCTCATAATGTATGATCTACCTTTTCTCCTAGGGAGAACAAAATTCAGTAAACATTCCCTTAAATTTGAAATTTTGACATTCAACTTAGCCATTTAAGCAAAAAACCTGATTTACGCAAGAATCAAATTGATTTCTGGATTATCTGCAAATTATTGTGAAATTCGTTTGAGCCAAAAATATCTTGAAGAACTTGACCTTCATGATTGTTCTTGAAACCAAACCCATTGACGTATTTCATACATACTTTACTAGGTACCATGGTACATTTCAGCTGACCAACAAGAGTGACGTCTTTAGCTTTGGGGTAGTGCTACTAGAGCTGGTCACAGGGCAACGACACATCCTGAGTGACCCTGAGCCGACGAGCATTGTTCAGTGGGTGCGGCAACGCCTTGCCCGTGGTAACATCGAGGATGTGGTGGATGCGCGCATGCGTGGAGATCACGATGTCAATAGCGTGTGGAAAATTGCAGACACCGCGTTGAAGTGCACCGCCCAGAGGCCCGGAGAGCGGCCCACGATGACCGATGTCGTAGCGGTGCTACATGAGTGCCTTGAGCTCGAGGCTGCACACGACAATGTGAATGCAGGGTTTTACACGCCTGGCAGCGGTGGCAGCCTGAACGACTATGGTCAGTACAACAGTGGCATGTCTACTGATCTGAGCCACAGGAGCACTGCATATGAGCAAGGGCATTTGGGCAGTGTGTCTATACTGTCTACTGGTCCAGCTGTTAGGTGAGGATCTAGACAATGATTACCTCCACCTATCTTCTGCGAGTATTCTTTGTTTTCACTCAAGGGAATTCAAAAGTTTTTACATGATAATTGTCATTATTATTAGGGGAAGTGTGAATGTACTGATATGAAGTACGTAGTATATAATACTTGATGTATCTTGATTTTTCAACTTTAGAAGATAACTTAAGGAGGATAAAGATTCTCTGTTGGCTGAACCGTACAACATCATCGATAAATGTGACCTTTTTTTTTGATTCAGATGTAGTGTTACATGAAAATGTGATGGCAAAATAATGACCGTCGAGAAAGCACAATATAATTTGCTAAGTGAAAATATAACCTGAAATAGTGACGATCCTCACGTATTTTGACGCATAAAGATAACTAGACCCTCACGTATTTTGACGTCATCAACCTCAAGTTGCTCCTTCTGTGCTTCGAGGCCATGTCCGGTCTTAAGATCAACTTTGACAAGAGTGAAGTGGTGGTTTTAGGATACTCGGGTGACGATCAACATCGGATTATGGACAACTTGAACTGCAAGTTGTCCTCCTTCCCCATTATATACTTAGGGATGCCGCTGTCTGATTCGAGGGTACCCTTGTGTGAGTTCGACCCGCTTATCGTCGAGTCGCGTCTAGGTCGAAGCCATGGTGCGGTCATTTTACATTTTTACGTCCAAAGGAAGAAAGACGTTCATATTGACTCCTGCCTATCTAGTCTCCCCGTCTATATGATAGCGTTGTATATCCTGCCGGAAGGGGTTCATAAATAGACCTTTCCCGATACTTCTAGCAAGCGACGGATGGCCGGCAGAAGTACCATATGGTCACTGGGCTGATGTCTGCATGCCAAAGGACTTGGGAGGGATAGGCATTATTTGCGTCTCATTGCATGAACATGGCCTTTATGCTGAGATGGGTCTGGCGGATACTTCGTGGGGATGGAGGATTATGGTTACAACTTGCTCAAGCAAAGTATCTGCAGGGCTGACGCCTCCTTGCCTGTGTGTGTAGGGAGGGGTCCCGATTCTGAAAGTCCATACATCGGATCAGGCATGAGATCCGCAATGAGGTCTCTATCTCCATTGGCAACGGAGAGTGGACCCTCTTTTGGCTTGACCCGTTGTCGGTGTGAAATCCGACATACCTCGGAGTAGGGGGTCCCGAGCTATGGATCTCAGATCGGTCCTCTCTACGGGTTGAATCCTTGGCTTATGTACACGCTAGGTAGGGCATCTAGGGTTATAAGGTCGGTATCCAGGGGATCGCATGGAGGCGGCAGGAGATGTCTTGGAGTATACGCCAAGTCTTCGAAAGGCATAGTCTTGATCCATCGTGCCTCTACGGGAGTCCACTTCGAAGAGAATGGGGGCCCACCGGCCCATCCAAGGACCGTGGGCCGGCTGAGCTAGTACCTGTCACCTGTGGGTGGGCTGGTGGGTTCCCGTTGTGTACGGAGTTCCCAAGCGTGTTTACTATCTGCTAAGATCGGATGGTGCTGACTTCCACAACAACCCACAATGGATACTGGAACATCTTGTTCTGAAGGACATTTGGCCCATGGATACCATGGAGTGGGCCAACTTGTGGGCTACCGTCCCGCCGATGCTCGCAGATTATCTGGACACCGTTTCTTAGCAACTGACCCCCTCAGGGATCTTCTCTACTCGGTCGGCTTATTATGCCTTATGCCGACGGTCATCTCTTTTGTTATGGAAACACCCTTGTAGCTGAAGATCAAAATCTTTTGTTTGGCAACTGCTATGGAATCGCCTCGCGTCTAGGACGGAGGTGATCAAACGGCGTGACCCTGGGAATGACTTGTGTCCCATTTGCGAAGTTTCGGAGACAGGGACACACATATTTTCTCATGCATGACGGCGTGGTTTCTTTGGAGCTTTGTCCGTGAGGCACTAGGCCCTGACTGGGAGGCCCTAGACCTGTCTAGGTACCTACAAACCCGTGCCAACCAGGCCGGGAGGAGGAGACGCCTCTTCTGATTTTGTGTTCACGACGCTAGCTTGGACCCTGTGAACGACATGCAACAAGATGTTGATTGAGTGGATCTTTCTTAGGCAGGCATCTGCATGTATCTTCAAATTCTTTGCATTTTTGCAGCACTGTCACCCGCTTTCTAGATAGCGGGATCACAACGGTTTGGCCACATGATGGGTGCAATGACTACTGCCTCATGCCGTCTTGCTTCGTCACAGATCGCCTGAACTTCCGACCACTTGTTGTCTTTTCTTCTGTTTCTTTTATGTTCTTTTTGGTGTGTTTGTGATGTTGCCCCAAAAGACTATTTTATTTTTGGTACGACGCTTAATTAAATTTTGTTGTATATGAACATGATGATTGCTTTCTTTATAAAGCTGGTTTCAAGAGAAGGCGGTGTCAACTCTCCAGCCCCATGTCAACTAAAGTTTAGTTTTTTGTTAGCCGATCGAGTCGTGGCCTCCCCGTTGGTACAAAGTGGTGGCGAGAGAATTCAGGCTAGAGCAGGGCCCACTCCTGAGCGACTGGCCGTACACGCTTCGTGGACGTTAACAAAGGTTATACGCACGTCACTGAAATTTTTTGGTATTGGGTCCTGTTGGATATGTTGGGCATGTGTGTGTGCCCGCCTGACCACAGAAACTAACGCCACGAACAATGGCGGCCACGCCGTGGCTGCTTCTTCTCTGCCTCAGCCTCGCCGCCGGAGGCGTGCTGCACGCTCGTGCCCAGCCGGACAGCAACGGTATGTACTTATATGCGTTCTCAAAATTTACTAAAGAGGATTACTGCAAAGCTGACACAAATCATGTAAAATTTCACTTTGTCCTTTGTCCATATATACTGTATGATCAATTCATCTCATATATCTGCGCGTGTTCGACCGATCGCGTGCTGTTTGCACCGCAGGATTCATAAGCATAGACTGCGGACTGCAGGGGGAGGAGGGCTACGTGGACACGGCCACCAAGCTCTCGTACTACCCGGACACCGGCTTCACCGACGGCGCCGGCACCTGCCGCAACATTTCGGCCGACTACATAACGCCGTCCTTGTGCAAGTGCTTGTACACCGTCCGCAGCTTCCCAGCCGGCGCGCGGAACTGCTACACGCTCCGCTCCCTCGTGCCCGGGCTCAAGTACCTCATCCGGGCCAAGTTCATGTACGGCAACTACGACGCCCTCCGTCGGCCGCCTGTCTTTGACCTCCACATCGGCGTCAACCACTGGCACACCGTGAACATCTCAAAGCCGCATGTGGAAAAGTCTGTGGAGGCCCTCGTTGTGGTGCCAGACGACTTCGTGCAAGTTTGCCTGATCAACACCGGCGCTGGGACGCCCTTCATCTCTTCGTTGGAGCTCAGGCCGCTCAAAAAGACGCTCTACCCGCAGGTGACTGTGGCACAGGGGCTCCTGCTCTCTGAGAGGAGCAACTTCGGCCAGATTGATGGAAACAACGTCATCAGGTGAGCCAAAGACGATCGCAAACTTCCCTATGTTGTTTCTATGGATGCCATGAATTTTAATTAGTACTACCTTTGTTCCTAAATACTCTCTCCCTTCCAAAATAAGTGTGTCAACTTTGTACTAATTTTGGGACACTTATTTTGAACCGAAGGGAGTATAAGACATTTTGGGAGGGTGTATTTTTTAACCGCGAAGTCATTCGATCAATCGATCAGGTATCCCGACGATACACATGACAGAATATGGACGCCTCTGGTCAGCTCTGGAACATATACCGAGGTATCAACGACGAGCAAGGTCATACCGGACAGCCTCTTTGAGGTACCGACGACCGTGATGCAGACGGCGATGAGGCCACGAAATGTCTCAAGTGGCATATCATTGTCTTGGGACCCTGAGCCGCAACCCAACAATCCATCGCCAGGGTACATCATCATCATGCACTTCTCTGAACTAGAGTTCCTCCTGTTCAATGTCACACGTGAGTTCTCAATCAACCTCGACAACGAGCCATGGCACCCAGACAATGTCACGCCGAAATACCTCTACGGAGCCGCCATCTACAATAGCGTCCCCTCCAGAAAGAGCCGCTACGACATATCGATCATTCCCACCGCCAGATCAACGCAGCCGCCTATCATCAACGCTATTGAAACATACACTGTTGTAACCACCACCAAGCTTGGCACCGACTCCCTGGATGGTACGTTTTATTCAGATGCAAAAAGATACATATAGATGGACAAGCACACACTGAAAAGAGTTACATATTCATAAGTGGCTTGAGATTCTTTTAAATCTCTTCTAACATGCTAACTAAAATTGCACAAATGTTTCACTAAATTGCACACGTTCTCAACAGGTGCAATTTTAGATTTATATATCAGTACACAAATTCTGAATATCTGAAGCAACTGTGAATTAGCAAATAGCAAAATCAAAAGCGCATTGAAAAATTGAGAACTACTAACTGCAGTGTCTGCGATCATGGCAATCAAGGTGAAGTATCAGGTGCATAAAAACTGGTTTGGTGACCCGTGCGGTCCGGAGACTGTTATGGTGTGGGACAGGTTGACATGTAGCTACGCCACTGCAAGGCCCCCAAGGATTATACGCTTGTAAGTACTAGATCACTAAAGTAGTGATCCAAACGCTCTTATATTTCTTTATGGAGGAAGTAGTTCATATCAATCTGTTAGGATCTTATGTTAGTGAAAACCATAACTGGTAATATTAAATGGAGAAGAGGGTTACGTTTCTACTATCATCAACTGAAACTGATCCACTGATCATTTGCTATATGCAGAGACTTGTCCTTGAGAGGTCTGAACGGTGATATCTCATCTTCTTTCACCAATCTCAAAGCTATCCAGTACTTGTACGTCTTATGTTATGGATCTGTCCTAATGTCCACTTAGTTTTGTGCAACAAAAATGATAAGAAAGTGTTTCATATCTTGCAGGAATCTATCAAACAATAACTTGGTAGGATCAATTCCAGATGCCCTTTCGCAGTTAACTTCATTGACAGTTCTGTAAGCCGGGCAACTTTTGTCAAAATTTAGCATTCCCATGAATTACTTCCGAGTCATGTAAATTGTCTTAGTATTTCTTTTCTGCAGAGATTTGTCACACAACCAGCTCAATGGAGCAATCCCATCTAGACTTCTCAAAAGAGTTGAAGACGGCTCACTGAATCTAAGGTACCCCTACCCCCCACACCCACAAACACATTTTAATTCCAATTCTATCTAACATCATAGCCCACATATTTATTTAATATTTGTTAGATATGGCAACAATCGAGACCTTTGCGCCAATGACAATTCATGTCGGTTGGCAACTAAACGAAAGAGCAATCTGGCCATCTACATTGCCGTCCCTGTGGTTGTGTCCATGATAGTGGTGATAGTAGTGGTAGTACTCCTGTGCTCGCTAAGATGGAAGAGACAAGGTAAGGCATCGACATGAGCACAATCACCGCCTAATCTTTTTCCCAATCACACTACTAAGTCTAGTTGTACTGTTTGTCACCTATTAAGGATCAATGAATAACTCCGTGGAGCCACAAAATGAAGCCACGACGAGCTATGTGTCGGGAAACAATGCTCATAGGGACAGTTTTTCACTGCATCAACTTGAGAGTCGCCGGTTCACATACGAAGAGCTCAAGATGATAACAAACAACTTCCAACGAGTACTTGGCCAGGGAGGGTTCGGGTACGTCTATGATGGTTTTCTGGAGGATGGCACTCAGGTGGCGGTAAAGTTACGGTCTCATTCTTCCAGTCAAGGTTTCAAGGAGTTCCTTGCAGAGGTACATGTCTTCTTTGATTGCACTTGATGTTTCAAGGTAGGGATTGTGCCAAGAAATTTCAGGGTAAAATTTATAAGCTGTGAACGTTTCCCTAGGCTCATATTTTAACACGGATTCATCACAAAAATCTTGTCACCATGACTGGTTACTGCAAGGATGGGGAGTACATGGCACTCGTCTACGAGTATATGTCAGAGGGAACCCTGCATGAGCATCTTGAAGGCACACACGTTGTTCACCTGTTAACTTCAGATTTAAATGTTTCTTGAGATTTCCAATTTGACCAAATGTAAAACTATTTATAGGAAGCAAACACAATGGAGGATGTTTATCGTGGAGACAAAGACTCTGAATTGCACTTGAATCTGCACAAGGTACGCACTTTAGTGTCGAGTTTGTTGTTGTTTAATATTTTATGTTTCCAAACACATGAGCATTAGCGTGTACGGTGATTTCCAGGGTTGGAGTATCTACACAAGGGGTGCGATCCGCCTATAATTCACAGGGATGTAAAGGCCACCAACATCCTCTTGAACGCGAGGTTAGAGGCTAGGATTGCTGACTTCGGCTTATCCAAGCCTTTCATTGGCGGCAATGACTACGTGTCCACAACGACACTCGTTGGCACACCCGGATATGTCGACCCGGAGTACCACGCGACGATGCAGCTAACAGCCAAGAGCGACGTGTACAGTTTCGGCGTCGTGCTGCTGGAACTGGTCACTGGGAAACCCGCCGTAGTGCGGGAGGCAGCACCCATCAGCATCAGTCATTGGTCACGACAACGGATGGCGCAGGGCAACATTGAAAGTGTGGTTGATGCACGTATGTGTGGCATTTACAATGTCAACAGTGTATGGAAAGTGGTGGAAATTGCACTAAAGTGCACTGCATATGTGTCGCCGCAACGACCCACCATGAGCGATGTGGTGGCTCAACTGCAAGAATGCATTGAGCTTGAGGAAGGCTGCACCATTAAAGCTAGGAACAATGGCTTCTATATGAGTGGTGGCAGTGACAGCCCAGACTTGAGTTATAATGCGTATATTGCTGACCAGTCCAGTGATAGCACTACATTTCAAATTGAACACGATGTCAAGAGGGTGCATGCAATGCCTACCGGTCCTGCTACACGTTGACAACTCCTATATTTGTTTGAGAATTTTGTATGAATGTAACAATAGATTCTATAGTTTTTTTTTCTTTCTCTTGAAGGGATCTAGATGAGATACTGAAACATATTGCTTTTGGTGAAGTGAGTGCACATGCTGTACTGATATATCCGAACACATAAAGAGTGAATTATTAGTTTAATTTGAAATAGGACCTTGAGATCAATGTTTATAAGTTTATTGCATGTAAACTATGCCATTCTTGGTTGTTTGTTGCTAATTGACAAAAAATATTGTATGATAGTCACTTCTAAATGTGTTAATTAGTGAGACAAATATATCTAAATAGGTGAATGATTAGAGTAGAAAACAAATATCAATAGACATGGAAGCAGAAAGAGATATGCTGCCACATAAAAAATCCATACAACCATGATAATCGCAATCATGCAGGAAAACTTATGTAATCTATATATCAAAGCAGAAAGAGATATGCTGCTACATAACTACTATTAGGAACCCATACTCCAGGTGAAAGTGCATCTCGCCTACGTGAAGTTTGGTAATTAATGTTGACATATCTCAAGGAACTAATGCCTACTACAGGTTCATTTTAGGAAAGTTCGTTGGGGTGCAAAAAAGGAAATGGAAGGTGACACCCACAAATTTACATGAAGGCAAGTGTTGGTCTAGCCCAAGGATTTTTTATTTTCATTTTCATTTGAGTGATCGAAGATCACATTTAGTCCATAGGCATGCTGATACTATCAACAAGGGAGAGAAAGCCATGATGAGTCTTTTTTTCTCCAAGTGTTTAATGATCAAACTCCAAAAATCCTCAAAAGCCTTCAAAATTCCTCCACTATTTCTACCTAACTTTCATACACTTCGGAGTTGCTGAGCTCTTCCAGTCGGAATTGGCAAGTGGTTCACTAGATATAGCCATTGCAAAAGCCTAGTCATTCGGAGCTGCCAACTATTCCATTTTGGAACTGCTGAAGCACTTGGAAAACATCCAGTCGCCTTCTCAGAATTTCTAAAACCATCCGGTCAGAATTTCTGAAGTGTTTACAGAGAGTATGCCACTGACATTGGAGACTCTGAATCACTTCCTTTCAGACTGACCATGCAATATGAAAGTTGCTACCTTTCGTACACATCGAAGCTATTGATCTGATCACTTCGGAGCTTCCGAGCTATGTTAAAATGGCTGCAACGGTCAAATTTCCGGTCCAGTCTATTAATAACCTCACCCACCCCATCTATTCGCTCGAAGGAAACTCCACTCCTATCATACATTCTGAGAGAGAGCTCCATCTTCTTGTGCTTATTTCAAAGGGCTTTCTTCCTCAACATCCAAGTCAATCCTTCGAGACATAATTCCCCCCTTATCTTTCCATTCATACTTTTCAAATCCACAAGACAAATCTTGATAGAGTCTGAGTGCAAGGGGAGATTATCTTTTGAAACACAAGAGCAAGAGATTCATAATCAAGTATCCTGACGCTACAAAAAAAAGACACATCCGTGATGATACGTTTGCCATAGTAAGTCATGTTTTTTGTCATCCATGTACATTCATGACGATTTTATGACAGAACCAAGATAATGGTACATGTGTTGTCATAGATGTGTTCCATGAGAATATTCACCATTTCATCATGGAACGGTGATCTTCCATGACCGAAAGTATCGCGTCAAGGAAGCATTTCGTCAAGGGTAAACAACACGTGGAAGCCACCATAACGGGTTGTCATTAAGATATCAGCGTTAACCTCACACATGTTGTAGTGAGTAACTTAGGATTGAAGTTACAGAGCCTCTTCATTTTAACATTGTGTTAATCATGAATGATGACCCAAGAAAAAGAAGTCATGGATCCATAGGTTGTAGCAAGAATGAGAACTAGTTAGAAGGCATGGTAAATCTCTGATCAACCAACCACTCCATGTTTCCTTCTCATCTCTAGCTGGTTGCCATTTACCAGAAAGGCATGCACCATGCTCCAGAAAACCCCTAGTTGGACCCATCGTTGTTTCCCCGTGACACAACCGGCAACTAGATTGTGCCCCCACTCAGCCCACTCTTCCACTTGCCACACACCCTCACCATTGGTGCAGACGTCAAGCAAAGTCACTTGGCTGATGGCGGCGATAGGGCATCCATCATGGGGTGTTGTGGTGGTGTGTGGTACCTGCACAATTGGATGTCGGTTTGGTACCACACGGAGGTGGCCGGTGTTGTGGTCGTCTCTGGAAACATGAGTGGAGCCAATTCCAGTCTTAAGCACAGTCTGCTGATCTGGTTCGCATGGCGTGGCCAATACTGACATGATGTCGATGCTGGTACGATGTGATCCATCCGGATGTAGCGTGTAAGCGCCTTTTTGGTAGTTGTTACCGCTGATCCACCACTCATGAGGACACCGGTGATTGTGTCGTCAGAGTGCTGGAGTGATGACCCTTGCATGGGCTTATTTGTTGGCGCATGGTAGCTTGGTTCGCACACCACATTGTGATAAAGGGCACCGTTGCATCTCTCTGTGTGTGTGTGTGGCGATTTTTTAATCGAAGGTGGTAATGGCTATCGCGGTAACGGTCTAGATCCACAACCACACGCCGCTTGGGAGGATGAGCGATGCTGCTCGAGAGTCCCTCCATGGGATTTTGGCAACGCCTATTGTGTCTCTTTGGCTGGATTGATGGTCAATGTCATGTTTTCAACCTTTTGTTGTCATGGTCATCGACTGCATGAGAATGGCCATGTCCGGACCATCCATGCAAGTATTTGTCTTCATATGCATATGCCATGGGCTTGAGGTCGGGTAGTGTAAGTGACAACTAAGCGTGACGACAGTTTGAAAGTGCTTCTCAAGTACCCAGTCTTGAGCTCTAGGGCGAAAATCGATAGGTCTGACTTTAGTTGCTTGTACCTTGCAATGAATGTGTTTATAAGCTGTTTCCTTGAAGACATCACTCAGAGTTGTCTTTGGGGATGAAAACCCATGATCTGACCATCAAAGGTTGGCGACGCGGTGTGTCATTCCCTTTCTCCATGCGCCGCTATCGAAAAACCACTCTCGCGGTTCCTGGATTGCCAAGGGTGGGGCTTGATGTTGTTGCCGCTTGCTATGTGGTGTCGTCCGGTTTTTTTTTTTTGAAATACCCAGCACTTGCTGGTTTTCCATTGATTTAGCGGAAGGGGAGGTTACAAAGTAGATCAAGTGATCCAGTGGCTTAAGAGTACATGTAGCCGAAAGGGTTCAGCTACATACACCAGTTTCATAAAGGAACTTCTCACGTTACATTCCTGGATGGGTGCTCTATGCATTTTGCGCCTGCCATCCTCCATTGTTCCATGTCGCGTCGACATGCATCTATGATGTGCTTCACGTTTGCTTGCTTGCCTCTGAACAAACATGCGTGTCGTCCGTTTTAACATGCCTCCTTTTCGAGGTCTTGCTTTTGTCTTTTTTAATATAACATTTTGACTGTGTGCATTTTCCAAGTCTTGACTATTTTTTAATATCGTGCTGGTGTACATATAAAAATAATAATTAGTATGTTGCGAATATTAACATACTATTTCGTTTACCGAAAAACTTACGGATACCTTCACACGACTCGACGACCTCACCTGTGTTTTATTGTCGGTAACGTAGTGTAATCTTGTTCCTTCTCCAATCCACCACAGCGGCTGTGGAGAAGAAAAAAGTGACAAGAAGAAGAGGGGGCTGCTGGACGTGGTCGAGCAGTTCGTGGCTTGGTGCGCCCTCACACAAGAGGAACTCGCCGTCGACCAGTTGGAAGGCAGTGTCAACTCTCTAGCCCATGTCTTGCCTCAAAGAGAATAAGAATCTCTGCAAACCCATGTCAACTCACATTCTTTTCTTCTGAACTGATCGATTAGTGGCCTCGTGGGTACAGCGAGTCGCCGCTTCCTTGGTGTGCCCCCGGACGTTGGCTAAGGTTTTAGTACTGGGTCTTGATGTGACAATCGAACAGAATTGGCTTAGTATTTAGATTAAGGCCGCGCAAGTTGTCTAATTTTTTTATCCGAAGGGATTGAGTTGAGGCTGCACATATCACAGACACTTGTCATGTTGGATGCTCCATTAGCTGCTTCTTGCGTGTGCTCCGGAGCAATTAACGCCACGACCAATGGCGGCCACGCCATGGCTGCTCTTTCTCTGCCTCACCGCCGGCGGCGTATTCCAAGCTCGTGCCCAGCCCGACAGCGGCGTATACCTGCATGCATGCTCAAAGTTTATCGTCATGCTGTCTCAAATGATCACAACGCAATGGATGATTCTACACACCCCGTGATCCATCGATCTCATGGTGCACACTGCAGGATTTATCACCATATATAGACTGCGGACTGCAGGGCACGGGCTATGTGGACAACACCACCAAACTCCCCATCTCCGCGGACAACGGTGGCTCACAGACGACGCTGGAACCTGCCACAACATCTCAGCGGAGTATGTAACCCCGTTGATGGGCAAGAGCTGGTTCAACTTGCGTAGCTTCGCAGCCGGCACACGCTCCGGTCCATCGTACCCGGGCTCAAGTACCTCGTCCGGGCCAGGTTCATGTACGGCAACTACGACGGCCTCCATCGGCTGCCCATGTTTGACCTTCACATCGGCGTCAACTTTTGGCGCACCGTGAACATCTCCAGCCCATTCGCGGCGAAGTTCGTGGAGGTCATTGTCGTGGTGCCGGATGACTACGTGCAGGTCTGCCTGATCAACACCGGTGCCGGGACGCCTTTCATCTCCGGGCTGGACCTCAGGCCGCTCAAAACCGCAGGTGACCGCGGCGCAGGGGCTCGTCCTGTTGGCCAGGTTCAACTTTGGCGGGGACGAAAACACCGGCATCAGGTATGCCAAAGATCATTTTTTTGTGTGTGTGTGTGTGTGTGATAGTACCAAGATCACAAGCTTAATTACCGCTTTTGTTTCCATGACAGTAACCTTACAGTCTTGCTATGTCTCAGTCAATAATACTATATCCATGAGATCT